ATATTAAAATGAAGGACTAAAAATCAATTCCCTTCAAGGCCAGAAATGTGAGATAGAACCCAAAAATATGACAAACCATTTGATTCCAATTAATGAAATAACTTTTAAATGAAGGGTGTAAAAAAAAAAAAAAAAAAGAATGCTATCTATAAAACTCCAAGACATATCTAAATAATATAGGGGCAATAAATTCACAAAGTAAGTTTCTTTATTAATGTTAGCAGTATATTATGATCATTCCTATCTCTACTCTTCCAGCTAAAGGACCATTGGTTCTTGTTTCTATCAGAGCAGAGACATGCTTCTCATGTTCAGTGACCCAGTTCCAAGAAGTATCACAATACAGAAGCCTATTTTCCACTTAATAAACATGCATAATTCCTGTGAATATTAGCAGTGATTATGCACATTTACACACTCTAGGGCATATTCATCTAAACCCAGGGAATTCAAAAAATCTGAAGGAAAATGTATTTGGCCCTTTAGACTGCAAGAAACCCTAAAGAATGATAGGAACACACAAGAGGTTTTTATTGGTATCTTTTATTTTAATGACAGGTTTGTATATTAAGTTCTTAGCTCTCTGCCTGCAATGATAATTAAGTTTTATGCAAGATAAAAGAATTAAGGACTTTTTAGGAGAGAAAAAGGAAAATTAAGACAGCTAGTAGGGATTAAGCTTAACAGTTAGGATATTCTCTTTGAAGAAGGAAATTTTCAGGTTTCAGCTGGTCTGATGCTATTTCCTACAGAAGAATACGTTAATTGGGATATTGCCAGCAGCCCAGAAGGTGACATCTCATCACAGGTAGATAAATGAGAGGGCAATCAGTGCAGATTCAAACAGAGCCATGATAATTCACAGAACACGTAAAGTTGGAAGGCACCACAGCAGATCATCTGCTCCAACCTCTCTGCTCAAGGTTGCAGTGTTATCCCAGAGCACATGGCACAGAACTGCATCCAGAGGGTTCTGGAATACCTCTAGTGAGGGAGACTCCCCAGCCCCTCTGGGCACCCTGTTCCAGTGTGTGGTCACTGCACTGTAAGGAATTTCTTCCTCACATTTGGGAGAAACTTCCTGTGCATCACTCTCTGCCTCTGTCCTATTGCTGGCTCCCACAGAGCAGAGCTTCATCCTTCCTCTTGACACCTTCCCCTCAGATACTGATAAACATTGATGAGATCCCCTCTCAGTTAGTTCTTCTTGAACAGGCCCATCTCCCTCAGCTTTTTTTCATAGCAGAGATGCTCCAGTCCCTTCATTACCTTTGTCCCCCTCTGCTGGACCTGCTTCAGGAGCTCCATCTCTCTCTTGCCCTGAGAAGCCCAGAAATGGACCCAACTCTCCAGATACATCTCACCAGCATTGAATAGAGGGGCAGGATGACCTCCCTTGACCTGCTGGCAATGCTCTTCCTCTAATTGATTCAGTTTTATACAGCTTAAGGAGTACATAAACCACTGTGATAATGGTAAGGCAATTACATTATTTTTGTCACCTAAGAGAGAAAGCAAAAGGCCTCCAGTCAGGTCATTTTGCTTTTTCTACTGTTCCAGATAGTTCTCTGCAGTAGGAAGATGTAACTCCCATACCCCGGAGGAACTCAGAATTTAGCACCAGCTCCTGTCCTGAGCAATACTTTGTGGTTTTGCATGTTACTTTACAAAATGTTTGCTTTAGTTTTCTCAGAATGCTATCCACAGATTTCTCCCCCTCCCATGCTCTGTGCAGACTTTGAGGACAGCTATCTCAGTGTTTCAGTATTGAGGACTCTTTGTGGCTCTGGGCTTGCAGTACATAACCAACTCTTCAATAACTATTTAAAAAATTGCAGAACATTCACTTCATTCAGCAACATGGAAGGAAACATGAACCCTAACAATTTGCCATGGATTTCATATCCCAAGAAGAATCTATCTACTCAAAAATGGACTATTTTCAATGAACCTACTATATTGCAGAAAATGTTAAATATGCAACAATATGAAGTATATTTCTGCTTATTAGCTGCTTATTTAAAAGAAGTACTTTTGGCTGAAAATTTTTATACACACTTGCATTAAAAGTGCTGCAAATAATTTTTCTGTAGAGTCCATAGGTGAAACTATTTTTTTTAAGCACTAGATGATTTGTATTCATAATGGAAATTTCAATAGCAAATGTTCCCAAGCCAAACTAGAGTAATTCCCCCTTTAGTCAATACAGTATTTATCTACATCAGTAAACAGCACAGTACAATTGATGCAAATGTGTAGAGCTGGAAGGGTTCATGTTGAGGACTTTACATCCACATCACTCATGTTCTGGAGGTTCCCTTTCAGACCCACTTAAGCTTATTAGCAGCAATTAGATACAGCAACACAAGGTGTGATCCCAGGACACATCTAGTTATGTTTCACAAAAAAACCCCAAAATGGTTTCTATGCCCTAAGATTGTGCACCTCACTCCGCAAATCTGATGGAAGAGAAGTGCAGATAACCAGGAAATTCCCTTCAAAGTATTGCTAATATAAAATGTTTTGCCTATTTAAGTTGATAATATTTTCTATTCTGCATTAGTAAAAATAAAAAAAGTTTCCTTTGCACTTAAGTTAGATGACCAACACCTTTCTATCAACACACATGAAAGTGCTCCCCACAGGTCTCACAAACAAAGAAACAATGTCACCTTAAGTCAACCTGAACTGGAAATGGAGGAAAGTCTTTTATTTCTTTTCAAAATATACTGATCTATGGAAATCTTCCTCAATAAAATCCAGTTCAGACAAACAGATGACTGTCATCCCTCCCAACTAGAAGTTTATGCAGAGGAATTACAAATCAATACATGCTTCATGCATTTTCACCCTGAATATATTTTAAGTGAAGTGAGATGCCATAAATGTAACCACAAAGATTTGAGTCTCCTTCTGGTGGCTCCTCCTGGAAAGATAAATTTCACATCTGGGGGTTTATCTGCAGCCAGAAGCTGGGGTAGACGGAATGTCTGACACACAAGAAGTTGCCACCATGGCCAACACTCAGACTATGAGCTCCTCAGAGACATTATTTTACAAGCATTTCTGTGACACACACAGAAGTAAAGCTCTGGATTTACTACAGATAATCATATTTTTCTTCACAAAATTAGTATTTTGCCCCGTCTGGACAATAAATATAGGATGACAATAAACTAGATTAAATATACGGCAGTGCCATTACATAGCAAAAATCAAACCCCACAACTACCAAAGCAAGGCAGAGAATCACATTTCATGTCCATGTCTAAAGACACATGAGGCCATAAAACTAAAAGCTGGATATTGCAGCTTAGTAAGACTACAAAGCAGTCTTCAAATTTCAGGAGCAAAATACTGCTTGTGCTCTTCATGTTATTTTTTGCACTACTATCTCTGAAAACATGATATTGAATTTACTCTCTGATGTGTCTTCATGAGTAAGGTATCTTGAGAACTGTCTATGAATGCTTCAAACACCTGTTTGAAGGAAGGAAGTCCTGGAAGTTCTGAGTTATTTCCTGATGTTTTTCCTCACAGCATACAAAATCATAAAAAAACCTAAACCAAATAACCACCCCACCAAAAAAATCAACCAAAAAAACCCCAAAAAAGCCCCCCTCCCCAAAAAAAACCAAACCAACACAAAACAAAGCAAATCACCAAAAACCACCTTTACTGTGATTTTACAAAAAGAAAAAATTATTTCTGAAGAGTTGACATACTTTATTAAGAATTTCTTAAAGAAGGTTTACTTTTTCCAGAAACATGTATGAGCAACGACTGGATGTCTGCTCTTGTTGGATGTGCAGTGAGTACTGTTTAAAATGGAACTTCTAAATTATCAGTCAATAACAAGTACAACACCTGAGGCTGTACAGATTCTTTCATCTAAAAATATAATTCATTACAAACTCATTTGTTACTTAAGAATAGGACTGTGAGGCAACACCTTTAGCCATGAATATTAAAATATGAAGACAGAAGCTTATTTTGTAAGCTGAATTAGAAGTTTATGCTAGAGCCATTCATTAGAAAGAAAAATTGTCTAGGTAGTACTTTACAGAGTGATCTGGTTCAATCTTGAAGAAATTTAGGAAAGTACTGCAGAGTGCATCTAAGGAAAACAACAGTCCCACTTGTCTGCAAAAATTGCCAGTGTGCTCAACAGTAACTACTTACAATGTGAGGCTGAATAAAAATAAAGCAGCCTTTCAAATGTATTTATGATCCTACAGTTCATCATTGCCATTCAATATTTGTCCTAATTAACAGTACTTTGAAGTGTCTGACCTTTAGGTCGACACTCAGTTCTGAATTAAAATATAATGATCTTTTTAACATGAATACATTTTTTATGCTTCCCCCATCTTCTTCTTGTTACAGAATAAATACATAATAAATGTAAGGGAAAGACTGCATTGAACATGACAAAGTAATGAAAAACAAGAAGAAAATAAACAGATCAGCTTGCTTTCCCTTCCCAATAAAGTGAGAAAAAAGTGACAGCAGAGAAAAAATAAAGGCAATATCTAAAATTTATGGAAGAAATTCTTTGTGCACAGTGCATAATTTATCTGCAAGTCATACTGCCATAAAAGTTCATCACTTTTATATAAATATGTCCAGAAATCACATTGTTTATATTGAACAGGACCATGGCCATCCTTTAAAGGTGAACAACGTCACCTTTAAAATTTGAAATTCACGTCATGAATTTCAGAGCACAGAGAATGTATTATATTTCTTGTGAATAAATCATAGCTTTTTTCCTAAACTTTTGGTTCCTGTCACTATAGTTACACAAATCACTGGTGTGACGAGGGTAACACTTCCCACTCATTGTCTCATCTTCACCATTGCTTCTCCAAGCAAAGTTATTCCTCAGTCCAAATGACCAGCAGCTCTGGACCATACGTTTGCTTTACATTACTTCATAACTCTTTCTACAGTCAAACAACTTACTTTTAAGTTAACAAATAACTTAGTAAATAACTTACTTTTACGTAGAGCTGCTGAAACTCCTCAAGGTTCAGTCTGCCACTTGGACAGTCCTTTAGAAATCCTTTGTACCACTGTTTTAGCTCGTGTTCATTGAACTCCGTGCTCTTCACCAGATCCTCCATCACCTCAGGGGCCAGCTTACTATTTTGTTTCCCCATTTTTTGCCTTAGGAAGAAATAAATGAATACAATTAGCCAAATGTGAACATTTTAAACTGGAAATAGCCACGTAACTTGAACAATTGTTTTGTATTCACTGCTGCATTCAGGCAAAGGTAACTTCACAGATTTGCTAGTGAACATGAACCTAAGCTATCCTTGATTATTGGAGGCTGAAAATAGTGAAAAAGGCAACGTTCTTCTTTCATTCAGGAATCTTAAGGCCTGGAGACAGATTACTCTTATTTGCCTTAAAATTAGGCAATTTACAGCTTTTCTTTACAGTAAGACTGAAAATGATTACTTTTTTTTCTTTGAACATAACTAGAAAAAAAATCACAGATTCAGGGATGTCCACAGAATTCCTCTTTATCTTTGTCTTGAAAATATCTTCTGATATGACAGCTACATTAGCAGCTACTCCTCACATGTCCAAGGCTGTGGACAGACAGGCTTCTAACACACAGCATTAGGTATTCCACTGGGAGGAAACAATGTAAGAGTCCACAAACTTGGTCTCAAACAATGACAAAAGCAAACCGTAAATATAAATTTAATTCATATCCATTTGTACATATACATGCATACATACACATATGTATAAATAGATGAGTATTTATATATTTAATGCATAATTGATAAACAGACTGCTTACATTTCATCACTCTTTACATTTCATGATCATTAACTCTGAAGATATTCACTGTATTTGTTATATACATTTTGTATATATTTCAAATATTAAATAGAAATACAAACTTTGCATGTCTGTATAGATAAATACAGCAATTTCAGTACTACTCATGTTGGCCCTTCGAGATGCATTCAGGTTCTTTGACATTTCACCAAAGATATCCTTTGAGAGAACTTTAGAGAAAACCTCATCTTTAACATTTTCCCATTTCACCAAAGTCTTTTCATGACAGATCTTTTAGTTTCTTTTTAGTCAGATGATAGACAACACTTAACTTGTCCTGTAGAGAACTGCAAAGCAACGAATAATTTCTTTCCAGAGCCAAGCTTTGCATTTCCATTTTTATCTCCAGTTTAGCATCTGTGTCTAATGACTGCATCACACCATGCATTGATTTCTAGTCCATATTACCACCCACTCCCAATTTTAATCTATTGCTTTTGGCATCTTCCCCTATTTCAAAGCAGAAGTTTCTTTCTCCTCAAAAGGACAAACATTGTTCTGCTCCAACAAATCAATGCATTTATATGATTTCCTTTATGGGAACAATCCTTGAGCAGGTGCAAAGTTAATAATTGCTCCTGGTCTCTGTGTGTGGTGAACATGTCCCCTGGTGCCACAGTGCCAGCAGCACCAGGTCTGCTCCTAAAAGATCTCATGGCCCCTCTCCCTTCTGGCCATGGTCCCCCTTGGTCTAAACCTACTCCATGCTCTAAACTCACTTTGAGGCTCTTCCAAGCTCCTGTTCACAGATTTCAGTAAACTTAGCACAAACATGTGAGAGTTCAATCTTCCAGTTAATTGTCACAGCTAAAACTGTGCAGATGTCCAGAAATCAGCTATTTTGACTACATGATGGGTTTGCAATTTATGGTATTTAAAGCAACTGCCCCAGCCTTATCTCTGAAGTCCCCATTTTCTCATGTATGACAATGACCCAGTTTGGCACATTCTGAATTTAAATACCATGGAGATTAAATTACACTAATGCAGTTATTTCTCTACCTCCCACTCAGATAGGTTTTACAAGAAACAGTGACTTTTTAATATTTGTTTTATTCTTTATGGGCTGTGTTTTCTTCCTCTTTTTCTCTTTTACTTACACACTGTTATGTTATCATATATATTGCAAGAGTTCTATTGTCATTACATTGTAAGGGTTCCACATTGCCAGAGTTCCATACCTCCTTGATGTTTCTTGTAGGCATCTCCTCCAGGCCCTGACTCTCCCTTGCCCTCACAGCAGCAACTGACTCCAGTTCCCTCAGCCAACCAATCCACTCTTTTATAACACTCTGCTGATTGGCTGCAGCTGCGGCCTGTTAACATCAGGCCTGCTCCTAATCCTTAATAAATGGCTCAGCTGCAACTCTTTAGGGGCTAAGATTACATTCTATACCACCTTCATTTACCCATACTGTATCCCCCTACACTGTTACCTTTTGAAGTCATAAGGTGCTTTGCTTAGGATCCCGATGGATCAGTCAACGGGGTAAACATCCAGTCTGGTTGGGAAAGGAGGTCTTGGAGGAACTCAATAATAAAAAGAGGATGTATCAGCGTTGGAAGAAGGGTCAGGTCTCTAAGGAGGTATTAAGAGGGCTGCTAGAGTATGCAGAAAAAAAATTAGGGAGGCCAAAGCTCAGTTTGAACTCAGAATGGCGACTACTGTTAAGGATAATAAAAAATGTTTTTATAAATATATTAATGGTAGGAAGAAAGGTAAGACCAGCCTTTGTTCTTTATTGGACAAAGGTGGGAAGTTAGTATTTGCAGATGAGAAGGCAGAAGTGTTTAATGCCTATTTCGCCTCAGTTTTTAATGGGAAGATGACTTGCCCTCAAGACACCCGCCTGCCTGGGCTGGTTGATGGTTTTAGGGAGCAGAATGGTCCCCACGTTATCCAAGAGGAGGCTGTCATAGAACTATTGAAATGCTTGGATATTCATAAATCTATGGGACCAGATAGGATCCACCCCAGGGTAATGACAGAGCTGGCAAATTAATTTGCAAAGCCACTCTCCATCATTTACCAACAGTCATGGCTTACAGGTGAGGTTCCGGATGACTGGAAGCTGGCCAATGTGATACCCATTCACAAAAAAGGTGTAAAGGAAGATCCTGGCAATTATAGACCAGTCAGCCTGACCTCTATACCTGGCAAAATAATGGAACAGTTTATATTATGCACCATCATGCAAAATTTGCAGGACAGCCAGGGTATCAGACCCAGCCAGCATGGATTTAGGAGGGGTAGATCATGTCTGACTAACCTGGTCACCTTTTATGACCAGGTAACCCGGCTAGTGGATGCAGGGAAGGCTGTAGATGTTGTTTACTTGGATTTCAGCAAGGCCTTTGACACTGTCTCCCATAGCTTACTCCTAGACAAACTCGCAGGCCGTGATCTGGACAGGAATACCCTTTGCTGGATTCAGAACTGGCTGGATGGCCGGGCCCAGAGAGTGGTGGTGAATGATGTTGCATCCAGCTGGTGACCAGTCACCAGTGGGGCCAGTTCTGTTCAATATTTTTATTGACGACATGGATGAGGGCTTAGAGTCTTTTATTAGTAAATTTGCTGATGATACTAAATTGGGAACGTGTGTAGATCTGCTAGAGGGACGTAGGGCTCTGCAGAAAGATTTGGAACGGTTGGATGCATGGGCAGAATCAAACGGGATGAACTTCCATAAGTCCAAGTGCCGAGTACTGCACTTCGGCCACAATAACCCCCTGCACTGATTTAAGCTGGGGACAGTGTGGCTGGACAGTGCTCAGATGGAAAGGGACCTGGGGGTGCTGGTTGACAGTCGATTGAATATGAGCCAGCAGTGTGCCCAGGTGGCCAAGAGGGCCAATGGCATCCTGGCCAGTATCAGGAATGGTGTGGCCAGCAGTAGCAGGGAGGTCATTCTTCCCCTGTACGTGGCACTGGTGAGGCCTCACTTGGAGTATTGCATCCAGTTCTGGGCCCCTCACTTTAGGAGGGACGTTGAGTTGCTTGAGTGTGTCCAGAGGAGGGCAACGAGGCTGGTAAGGGGCTTGGAACACAAGTCATATGAAGAACGACTGAGGGAGCTGGGGTTGTTTAGCCTGGAGAAAAGGAGACTAAGGGGCGACCTCATCACTCTCTACAACTTCCTGAAGGGTGGCTGTGGTGAGTTGGGGGTCGGTCTCTTTCTCCGGGCAACAACAGATAGAACAAGAGGACACAGTCTCAAGCTGCGTCAAGGGAGATGCAAGTTAGAATTAAGAAGGAAGTATTTTACAGAAAGAGTGGTCAGATACTGGAATCATCTACCCAGTGAGGTGGTGGAGTCATCATCCCTCAAGGAGTTCAAAAAGAGACTGGATGTGGCACTTGCTGCCATGATCTAGTTGAATAATTAGAACACGGGTTGGACTTGATGATCTTATAGGTCTCTTCCAGCCTTGAATTTCTGTGATTCTGTGATCCAGAAAATCCCTAAAGATACTCAGCAGTTATAGTAACTACTCTAGGTAGAGTCAAAAAACCATCCTTCACCAGGATTCATATCCCCATAAGTATTTAACTTAACAATATTTATGGATGAAAAAAGTATCCTCAATGGGCAAAAAATCAGGTAGTTTTGACTGACTGCTTTTCTGTTATAGCAACTTTTTGATCTTTTTGATCCATGTTAGCTTTACAGCCCTTGGGCCTGGCACTACAGAGAGCTGGAACAGAGCAGGTGTGGTGAATCTCAGCCACATCTGCCAAAGTTACCTGTGCTGTTTTCAGTGAGGGGAACATAATCCACTGTACAACACTTACAGAGCATGGAGTGGGCCTGCATGTGTGTAAGAATACATGAATAAAGACACACATATCCACACATAACCTATCATCAAAGTCAGAGAAACAAGTCATCAGCCTTTGCCTCAGTGATCCTGGTCCCTGATTTTGGGCAGGTGTCTGTCACAGGTTGTCCAGTAAGTGCCAAACACCTTTCAGCCATTTCGGATGTATCTCACCACAGAACATCTCCTAGTAAAGGAAACCACAGTTGGCATTCTGATAAACACACAGAAACTATTTTTTCCACAGAACCAAACCAGTATTTGAGAAAGGTACAATTCGTGATTTCTGGGTTCTGCATTATTTGCTGCTCCAGCATTATTATGGTGAATAATCTGCTGGGCCCTGTTTGGGACAGAGTCAGCAAACTGACCAAGCCGGTCACAAAGCTTTCCTGGAATTAGAAGCACTCATTCATTCTTTCTTCATGTCTTAAAGCTCTTTTCTCAGAGAAATTGAATTACAATCTGCAAGAAAGCTCAAGAGTCTC